AGCCACACGCTGTACGTGATGTATCGATGAAAAGAGTTGATATTTCGGTAATTAACATATTTAGATCATTTTGACTGATATGATGTTATCAAGACTGTTGTTTAACATTTGTATTTTATTTTGATCAATGATATTGATAAAGTTATCAGCCCTTTTTTGATCCCAAAGTTCAAAGTCGGAGTCTCGTCGTACTGTGGTTTGTTTAGATTATTTAGCTTAAATGACAACTTCAGTTCAACCGAACTATGGACGTCTGAAAATAAGGGGAAAAATCACTTACCTGTAGGGATGTGACATACTGGAATGTTTCGAGTTACAAATAAAATAATCAACTGTACTCAGGCCTTTACAAGTAACTTTTCCAGGCATGTTAATAGTAGTACGGCCATTAAGTATATATAAGTTATTAAGAGTTAAAAAGTCAATAAGCTTACTTCCATATGTAGTTTTGTCGCAATTTACCCGCAATTTGTGTACGTTTAAAGAACTATCAAATCTGCTCATTTCTAATTCATATTCGTCGGTGATGTCATCTCAAAGCTGACTTTCGAAAAGTTCGGTATCAAGCGTTATATAATCTTTTAGACTTTTTGTTTGAGAATTGAAAATCTCCAAACAAGCATATTGAATCATGACTTCTAGAGAATACATTTAGTTCTTCTTGAATTTCTGCAAAAGGCTCATCTACAGCATAAATAGAATTATATGGTGATATATAGACTACAGCGCATAATATGTCTGTTTCTAGATTACATAATTCTTTCGATATGGTAATTCACAGAATCAATAACACAATAATTGTTCCGATTTCTTTCGTATAGAACTTGAAAAAAAAACATTTTAAAAGATATATATCTACAAGAAGTAAAATTTATTTCAATTTTCTTGTAAGGATTTTTGGCTTTAACAGTTTAAAGTTTGATATTGTCATACTCAATTTTGATTTGGCACAGTTACTTACTTTCATTAAAAGATCATTTCTATAATTTTTGTTTTAAAATCTTTAGACTTAATCTATAGACATTCATTGTTTTATTTTTATTAACGAGCTTAATTATTGAGAAAACACATCACTAAAACGACACTCAAGCGCGTTATTGGTTTCTTGGTCGGGAATTCGAACCCGATATTCTCACATCCTTAGCTTGCGTCTTAACCCTGGACCAAAAATTTTCAATGTAGGATTCACGAACAGATCAGAAGCAAATCATATTATTTTAAGTAAAGAATTTCAAAAAGGCCGGTTATCGTAAAAATGAATATTTACAAACAAGAAAGTAATGAATAAAACGATTTCATGCCATATACAAATGAAATTTAAATAATTCATTTTGCATCTTACCTTTAAAGTAAGATGCTCTTTAATATCAAAGTTTTGATTCGAAACACTCGACAAAGCAGTTAAAAACTGTTTCAGTGCCTAATGTTACTGATATGGACATTTTCCCAAAGAACTAACTACGTTTTGAAGAAAGAAAATTGGCTGAGTAAAATGTAAAATCTTACAATGTTATGCTTGTTTAAAACGTCAGGCAAATATTGTATGAACAGAAGTTAAATATATATAGCCAGATATAGCCAAAAACCTAGAAGGATTTTGTTTATATTTCTTAAAATAAGAATTTTTAATACGGATTTAACAACACTAGGATACATAAAAATTTCTTTAACAGATATGTCATTTTTATACGCCTGGCGGGCGGGTGGATGGACAGGTGGGCAGTCGCCGTCCAATTTTTGTCCGGAGCATATCTCTTACACCCATGGAGGTATTTTAATGAAACTTCACAGATATGTTTACCACTATGAGAAGCTTTGTCGCGCGCATAAACCAAAAAAAAGTTGATGAAGGAAATACAAACAAAAATGTAGCCTCATGTGACGCATGGTCCAAATCATAAAAGCATGGGTTTTGTTAATACTTAAGATAATATCAATTTAAAGATCTGAAAAAATCTGAAAGAAACACAGATATTTTTTCATGTGTATGACCGTATAAAGGTATGTTTGGCAATATCATTTTAATCACATCAACGAAAACGTAAGAATTGCCTTTTTATAGATATATACGGGGAGATGTCATTACTAAACTTTGAAAATTGATCAGATACGTTGACAAATGGGGTCAATTTTCAACGGAGTCAAAATTTAATGTTATTCCATCTAAAGGGCAGAGGACTTATCGAGTTGTCTTTGTAGTGTCTCTTCTGAAATCATTTGCCGAACATTTCAATAATAATAGTGAAAATCTTAGCTAGCTACACATTCTTGGGTTTGATCATAATGTCAAGGAATTTGAAAGCTAGAGTCGCTGATGTAAGGCTTCAAAACTGCAGTGGTCTAAGATGAATACGTCTCAGCCCTTATCGGAATGTTTGTTGGTATAATTGATTTTTATTCTAACGATATTCAGATATTGCTTTGTGGTTCTAAAAGTTACATGTGATAAGAGTTTTGAGGTTGAAAGAACTTTGTATTAGATACCATACTTTTAATGAAAATTATTTCGTCAGAAATATCAGCAAAGTGGATTCAAAGTGCTTTAAAAAATTATTTTTTTTCTCATATATTTGATATTTGAAGTATAACAATACAAACATACACATTAACATACAATTCATAGACTCATACCTATTTTTTAAAAAACAAAAAACACTACATAAGTATGAAAAACATCCATTCACTCCATATTTCTACCATATATTCATTCATTTCGAATAATAGAAAGAGTATTTCAGATAAAGGAACTGAAAATTTAAAGTATATTCAAAGACATTTTAACATTATTTTGAGTAAAAAGGGAGAATGCAAAAAAAGAACGAAATTTGAAGTATATTCAAAAACATTTAACATTATTTGGTGTAAAAATAAGGAGAGAGAGAAAAAAAACAACAAAGAAAATGTCAGAGAAATATACATACACAAACATACACACAGACAAACAAAAAGGATACTTTTTTCCTACATACATACAAAACATACATACAATCGCAAAAAAGGAGACAAAAAAGGAACAAGTGAGCTAATTTCAATTAATTTTCTTACGTTTTATGGTTTTGAATTTATTTTTAACTTTCCCTTACTGTTGGTTTGTAGGTTAGAGCGTTAAACAAGTTACCCCATTTTTGTTTGTGTGATTCAACGTTATCATTTAGAAAAGCAATTTCCTCTTCAAATTGTATTCTTAATAGCAAAAAGTTTTTGAAAATATCAAAAGTTGGTTCATGCTTTTGGTATTTCATTTTAAGGATAAAATATTTTATAAGTATGATGATATAATTTACTAAAATACTATTAATATTGTTTTTCAGTTCTTAAAATTTAAACCTAGGAAACTGAACCAATGCAAAATTATATGTTTCATCATTCTGAAAGCTGATAGAGCAAGGATTTTGAAAGAAGAATTGTCAGATTTAGGCGCTCAGGTGCACTGATTTTGTCTTAGAGCTGTTTTCTGGCTTCTGAAAGAAATTATTACTAAAATCATTATCAGTTACAAATTATTTATCAGTTTAATGATAAGCCTGTCCGTGCTCTGCCTTGTGCACTGTCCTGTTTTTTGTTTGGGGTCCGTCTGGGCTCCTTGCCGCTGGTTCTTGTTGCTGGGTCATGTGGTGGTTGCGTTCATTGAACACCGCCTTTCCGTGTTGATCTTGTTCATCATATTTTATTAAAAGAGGTTATGACCCTACTTTTTTAAGACATACTGCATGCTAAGTATTCAAATTGAGAACCTTGAGAATCTTTTTATAGGCGGACACTACGCTTTCCTCTTTTGATTACATCTGAAGGACCAAGTGGGAGACTCTATGATGAACAGTTCTTAAAGCCCTTTGGAACTGAATTGACTAAATGTTCGTCTTCTGCCTTTCTTCGTCGGGCCCTTGTAGGTGGTTTTCTTGTTTTCTTTGAGTTCTTTTGTTATGGTCTTTGGGATTTCTTTTATATGTTTCTACATAATCATTTTGGTGTTTTACATATTTCACTTCTATAACTATAACAACTGTTAGAATATCACTTGGCGGGGATGCATTTTATTTACACTGTCTCGTTTATAGGAACATGGTGGGGCTAAGAGTGAGGTTTGTTGATTTAACCGGTTTAAACTCCCCAGCAGTACTTGTGCTGCTGGCCGTTCTAAGGCAGCGCCCCTCTGTGTTTCTCATATGTATGTCTGTTGTTTTATACTGTTTTGGTGACACCTTTTCTTGTGTCCCTTGTTGTTTTCTCGTCTACGGTAAGGATCTTCCTGTTTGCTCCTAGTTGTATTTCTTTTATTCACACCCGTCCCTGATCTCCTGTCCCTTTTTCTATGCCCTTTGACATTATGCGCCTATTATTCAATCATTTATTTGTTTTTTTTTAATTCCTTATCTGTTACAAATTATTTATCATTTTAGTGATTAGTCTGTTCGTGCTCTGCCTTATGCGCTGTTCTTTTTTGTTTGGGTCCGCCTAGGCTCCTTGCCACTGGTTCTTATTGCTTGGTCGTGTGGGGTTGTATTTCAACGCCGCCTTTCCGTGCTTGTTTATCATTTGTTATGAGATTGAGATGTGAGTCGTAGCCTCCTGTTAAACAACTTATTGTGTTTTTTACAAACTGACCCTTGACATATGCCTGTCGTGTGTTTGTTAGTCATGGTAATAATGTATGATTTTTGTGATGATGATGTTGCTTATAAATTACTACTATTTTTTATTTATTTATTTATTTATTTATTTATTTATTAATTTATTTATTTATTAATTTATTTATTAATACTTATTATTATTATTATTTTTAATATTTTTTATTATTATATTCATTATAATTATTTTTTTAATTGGTACTGGTGTAATTAATGTTCTTCAATTTAAAAATATTTTTTACAAAACTATACCTAACTAACAAACAATTATCCAATCGACAAGTCCAATTTGCGATTTATTATTATATACTGCTTTCTTTTAGCAAAAGTATTAAGCACACATCGTCTTTCATAACAATATTTCTATTTCAGGGAAGATTAACAACGAAAAGCAAACAAGCAAAAGTACGATTACTTTATAGTTTCTTTTACTTGTAACAAAATATTATCAAAAGCATTTGTACTAATATTTGATGTTTTCTTTAATCTTATAGTTGTATTTTGCATCAGTAAAAATAGTATTTCTATAATTTTAACTAATTGCTATGATTTAAATTCAGATTTTACAAGAAATTAATAAAATGGCAAGTGGTGGGCCATTTCAGTCGCCAGACAATCGGGTCCATATGTTTAGGTTGCAAATGCTTATCATGGACGGAGGGCTTCTTGTGTTCAGGAATATAGTAGACAAGACACTGGCCGATAAAGGCATGACTCTAAGTGAATGTTTGGATAATGAAAAGTCAACAATTGAAACATTGAAAAGACAGCGCATTATTAATCAGTTTCAGTATAAAATATTGTTTCCTCATGGTAAAAACCCAGCTACGACAGATATGGACATCACGCTCCTCATGTGTCTTCTCAGAAACCTAGATTTGTTTTCATCAATAGATGAGGCAGACTTAAATCTGTTACGGAATTCCCGAAACAAGGTAAGTGTGTGACGGAATGGTACTCATCATTTTATATATTTTGTATAAAGACTTGAATCAAAAAAAAAGATAGTGACAGCTTCAGTAATTCAAAGCAAATTCCTCATTACTTTCAGAGCATATTTTATAGGATGTCTAAAGTATTATGAAGACATGATTATGTTACATAAATTATGATAAATAAATTAATATTTTCAAATTAGAATGTGTATAGGTAAAGATATTTCCATAAAAACATCTTGGTAAGGGGGTTTCTGAAAAGGCGATGGCTAATGTTTGAGTTATTGCACTCTGCAATTGTTCATTCTTTTTTATGTTCTTTGAAGCCTATATTATTACCTTTGCAAGTTTTGGCCGCGATAAATGTAGCCATTTTAATAGATATGACGTGAGTTTTACGCCGAGGACAGTATTATATCATCCAATCCATATTATGCCGTACATCAAGTCAACGACTTGTATAACGAATTTATAACGAAAATTCTCGTTGAATGATTACAAGTTTATCAATAAGAAAAACAAAACAAATCAAAAATAATAAACAAACAAAAAGCGCAACTGTAAAAGGCAATATATTTTCTTTATTGTTTGCCTATGGATTTTTCGTCTTCTGATGTCAACCGTGGTATATACGACAGATCATTATTTAAACACTTGTCAACAAAATCAAATCAAAACTCAAGAATTTTATTTACTTTTTTGAAAATAAAGATATGAAAATTTTTATTGATAAATTTTAGTTTTGCTTAAGTATGTAAACATAACCCTTTATTTTAGACATTTATACAGCGCATCAAAAGTATTATGCAAAACCTGTTTGCTATATCACCATAGCCAACCGGTAATATGTTTTAATAAATTATTTAATTGATCGATTTTGATAGGAAAGACTATTTGCTTTCTCATACGAAACAGTTAATTATTTGCTATCATTTCGTTCCATCGTGTATTCAAATCTTGATAATACAATTTTATCATTTTTAGGCATCACGATCCCGTCCTTACTTTCCCGCATTTTCATTCCTACTAATATCTCCCTGAAGGCATGGCCGATTATTTAAAGAGTCTGTCTGGTTATGTACGAATTACTGGCCAAGAAGATTTGAACCAGGTCGATCTTACAGTTCTTTAAGCAAGACAGTGACAATTTGGGTTTTTATTTTCAGCTCAGTCATATGGCATCAACCACTGAAATACAGGAAAAAGAATTTAAAGATATGTGGACTGATATCGAAGAGGTAGGCACATAAAATTATACAAGTAATAAAAAAAAACGTTAAAACAACATGTAAACTTATAATTCATATTTCTTTTGAACATGAACTTTTATGATTTATAAACATAACTTAAATAAGCTTGTTCCCTCTTTAAGTTTTATATATGTCGGCCGGCTTTCAAAATGATATTGTGCGCATTTTCCTGATGTCATGTTGAGCTTAATAAGTAATATGCTCGAAACAATTGAATTGTGTAATAATAGATGTTATCCGGAACACGCAAATGTGGGGTTTTCCCAGCTTGTCCGTTGGTACAAAACAAGATTCAAGTTTCAAAAGACATACACATTTTACAATGTCCGTCGCCATAAACAGAATGACGGTTACAAATGGTATATGAGAAAAGTACGAGGGTTGTCCCAATATTTTGTGACAAGATTGTTTAAAAGGTAAATAAAACAGGTACGAATTTGATATTTTAATATGTTATAAACCCATATAATTTAAACATTTTCACAAATTTTCATAGATAAATATCAACAAACAACAAAAATATGCCATAAAAACCATGGCAACTAACTCAATCGCGGCGCACGTCCAACGTCAAAGACGGCGTTAAATCTATATAAGGCGCCGTTCTTAAATACTCTCAATGGCTTTCAACGCAATAATGATACCCATAAATCGTCAATTTCTGAGTTAAATCATGTGGTTGTTAATGTCTGTTGAATATTTGGATGGCATACATTACTTTTTGCTATACGCGAACTTCCGGTCTCGTTACTCCTGTTTTTAGCTGTAGGAAATAGGCGACGAAGATCGGTCTTCCTATCCAAGTTTTCCTTATTTTCGCTTTTTGTAGCGCAAAACTCTGGTTCCGTTCATGCCTTTTGTACACAAATGCTCAGAATATGTTGCTAAAATGTTATATTTGGTATATTAGTTGAAAATCGTTACATGTGTCATCTCGAAATAGTCATGAAACCTGAGTGACATGTCCACTGCGCCGCAAATTCTTCGAACGTCGCCATTTTAACTTTCCTATTTTATGTGAGATATTTTCATTTATTCGTATCTTTTTCGTTTTTTTTAAGTTATTTAACTAAAATTTTCAGAGATGATTTAAACATAGCAGCAGAGGAAGTCAATGTGACATTGTGCAGACACATCATCAGATATTTGAAATATCCGTATTTAATTTCAGCCTATGCATAACAAAATGTAAATTATTTTGATGTGCGCCGGCAACTCAAACCAATGTCGTTAATACTGAAAAGTTCTAAGTGTAACTAGGGTAATTTTTTTGTAAATGATTTGTTGTAATGTTAAATAATAAACTTAACGGTTATATGTGTGAATTATTTTCTATTTGCGTTAAAAATGAACCGGCTATAAAATCACGGACTTTTGGGACAACCCTCGTATGTAACTAAATACAAATAATTTTTATATGACCGAAAGAATTTCGGTTAAAAAAAGAAGGAAATCCCATAAACCGACTGGTTTATGTGGTAATTTTACTGGTTTAAGGGGGGAAATGGAACATAAAGATCAAAGTAAAAGCACATAAACCCCAATTGTTGGCATGCCTGTCCGTACGATCGTCCGTTTGCAATTTTGTTTCCGGAGCATTACTTACGTTCCATTCGGCCCACACTATTTAAACTTCATAGGATGATTGTCCTTATCAGGTAAAAGACCCCTATTGATTTTGGAGGCACAAGATCAAATGCCAAGATCACTATGACCTTAAAACTTAAAACAGTTTCCGGAGCATAACTTAAGTTTCATTCGGTCCACAATATTCAAACTTCATAAGATGATTGTCCACAATGGGTAAAAAACCCCTATTGTTTTTGAGGTCACAAAGTCAAAGGTTAAGGTCACTATTACCTTGACACTGAAAATGGTTTCCGAGCATAACTTAAGTTCCATTTGGCCCACAATATTCAAACTTCATAGAATGCATGTCCGTATTGGGTAAAAGACCCCTATTGATTTTGGGGTCACAAGGTCAAAGGTTAAGGTCACTATTACCTTGACACTAAAAACAGTTTCTGGAGCGTAACTAAAGTACCATTTGGCCCACAATATTCAAACTTCATAGGATAATTGTCCATATTGGAAAGAACCCTATTAATTTTGGGGTCACAAGGTCAACGGTCAAGGTCACTTTTACCTCGACACTGAAAATGGTTTCCGAGCATAACTTAAGTTCCATTTGGCCCACAATATTCAAACTTCATAGAATGCATGTCCATATTTGGTAAAAGACCCCTATTGTTTTGGGGGTCACAAGGTCAAAGGTCACGGTCCCTATTACCTTGACACTGAAAACAGTTTCCGGAGCCTAACTTAAGTTCCATTTGGCCAAATGTATTTAAATTTCACAGGATGATTGTGCATATTGGATAGAAGACCCCTATACATTTTGGGATCACAAGGTCAACGGTCAAGGTCCATATGACCTTGACACTGAAAACAGTTTCCGAAGCATATCTTATGTTCCATTTGGTCCACAATATTCAAAACTTCGGAGGATGATTGTCCATATTGAATAGACGACCCCTATTGATTTTGGGGTCACAATGTTAAAGGTCAATGTCACTGTTACCTTAAAACTATTTCCGGAGCATAACTTATGTTCCTTTTGGCATGCAATATTCAAACTTCATAAGATGATTGTCCATATTGGGTAGATGACCTATATTGATTTTGGGGTCATAAGGTCAAAGGTCAGGGTCACAATAATCTTTACACTGAAAATTGTGGTTTCTGGAGCATAACTTAAGTTCCATTTGGCCCACATTGTTCAAACGTCATAGGATGATTGTGAATATTGAGTAGAAGACCCCTATTAATTTTTGAGTCACAAGGTCCAGGACACTGAAAACGGTTTTCGCTCAATAACTTTAGTATTTATCAACTTACGGCTTATATTTATTACATTAATTATATGCTCTAAAAATTTGCTTATATCATGTTATATCCCTGGGGTCTTTCTGTCTTTCCGTTGTAGTAAAATTATTCAATTCCCATGTCTTACAAATACTTCATCCTTATTAAAAAAATTACTTTCGAACAAATGATGCTCCGCCTAGCGGTGCTCCTGTTACATCAACATTTTTATATTGTGAAGAACACATATACATTGTATTTCAATATATGTTTGTAAATAATAGTATGCTATATATACCAAAATCATTATTTGAAAACAATCAATCATTCGTTCTATCACGTAATGCATTTGCAAAGTAGATATATTTCGATAACCTGTTAACAGTTCCATGCTTAGAATATTTTTAAGATAGGGCAAATGTAATATTATGTTTGTAAATGTTCTTTCCTTAATTCCCTAAACAATGGACAAACTAGTAAAAAGTAACATTTTAACCTATAATGACAATGTGATATAAACTCACCTGCGGCTTCAAAATATTTCCCATTGAAATTTCTATAGAAACACCGCCATCTTGACGAATATAAACAACCGTCATTTGATTGGTCGATTTATTTCCCGAAAATATACCCGTAAATGTCCGAAAAAAATGGACCAACCAGATGACGGTTGTTTATATTCGTCAAGATGGCGGTGTTTTTATAGAAAATTCAATGGGAAATATTTTGAAGCCGCAGGTGAGTTTATATCACATTATCATTATAGGTTATTGGTATATTTTGATTACTTTTATGTATTTTTAAATGCCCAGCATGATAAATACTTGTGATATTATCTCTAACGAATGCAACAGTCGTGTAACTTTGTGTTTCCTGCGTAGACACGATCGATGTCGACCTCGCGAAAATGAACAGTTTTTGTTACTTTGACGGCCAGTACTCGTTAAGTATAAGAGATAGAAGAAAAGATTTACATTGGTTCGATAGATCAATCATTCGACTACAAATTGCATAATTCCTTTTTATTCATGCTGTATCATGTAAAAAACTGCGAGGCAAAAACCCTGATTGGGCATAGACACCTTCTTATGGGAGTTGTTACCCTTGTCTATATATTAGTATATAGTGTAACGGGAATGGACTTAGAATTCATTTCTGACTTAGGATAAATGTTTTCTACCATCAAATACATATTTTGTGAACATTCAATGAGCTGTACCCCTTTGTACCGGATTTGCTGGAAAAAACAAATATTCCGGAGCAAATGCTCGTATATTTATTATGTAAAAATGTGAAGGATTAAAAATAAATGGAAAAAAACAGAATCAATTAAGATCCCTTACTCGCTTAAAAGATTGTCCAATATTTTTAATGTCAATTTTTCTAAGAAAATAATTAGAGCTATTGTCATGACCCCCTTGTAAGCAATGTTTAACCCTTTCGCTAAGCTCCATTTTCTCTGAAATTAAGTACATTGTCAACTTCAAACTTGACATGCACGTTTATTGTGTATAAGGGCAGGTTGTAAGTCAAAATTTATTGACATGCCAAAACGAGATTCTGATATGATTTTGTTCTGGGTCGGCATCTCGCTTCTACGTCAAAACCAGAAACAGACCTTTCTGTGGTGAAACGTGGATTTAGGTATAAATGTGAAAATGTAAGAACTTGTTTAATCATATAATTGTAAAGCATTATCGACAGAGAAAGTGCCAGTCTGCTGAGTTTCAAGAAAGTAAACCACGTTAGTTTCATTTTATCGTCTCATTTGTGTACCAAACACCGCCATATTGTGATGCTGCTACAGTCATGTAATATATACGCTAAAATCGATATACAAGTCCAATTCCGTACTCTCTGTAGCGTATCATCCCTATCATTATGCTAGGATAGCTTTTTGAATTTAAAAATTTAAAATTAAAAAATTTAAATATTTTTAATATTTCCAAATACAAATGTAGTTTTTTTTCCGAAAGCTACGGCGGTGATTTTAAATACTTGTGATTTTTCCCTATTGCTTGCATATCAGACAGGAGTATCTACTGTTTTCACCGGTGCTAGAAAAACGTGTCTTACACCCTCATGTAAGACAAGTTGCATGCTTCAAATGAAGACATTGTCGTGCGCCTTTTAGAAAAGAATATCAGTTTTCGTAATTTCTGATCTTTAAAAACATGATATGAAATATGCAAGAAAAAGAATCAAACCCCGGCCATCGTTACAGACGGGAATATCTAGCTCTCGGGTTACTGCTCAGCGGTAACTCGGAAAAGCTTCGTTACTGCCTAGAGCTAGATTCTGAATTTTGATGGAAAAATTCAATGCAAAATAGTGATTTTTTGCAATTTTTAGATATCCCCTCGTTGCCATGGTAACAGAAAGTTTTAAAACTGAGTTGTTATAAAGGCAATGGCCAAGTTAACATTTGTGCCAAGTTTGATTAGTATTGAGATTTTTTTATAGTGTTATAGCAATTTGAACTTGTAACGGGAGTCTTTTCAATGAAAAAGCCATTTTTCACAAAATTAGTAATTCAACATACCTGATAAATAAAAATTTTAATTTAAAAAACATAGTTCTTTATTCTGTAACATTCAAGATAGAGCATGACTTGAAGTTCACAGAATTTCTGACCTTTATATATACATACAAGAAAGTGAAGCAGATTTAATCATAAAGGAAGATATTGACACATTTAAAAGAGGAAAGGAAATAAAACAGTTACATATTCAATAGATATGTGATGGCAGATCCCATAATTATTTCCTCAGGGCCTAAAATCCCTTGAGCATACAAAGCATTGTCCCCTAGAACCATTAACATCCCCTTATATTAACCTTTAAGCAAGACATATTAATTTGGCGTTTTAATCTGTAGATTTAATCTTAGTCAATTTTAAGCTTAAAACATTTAATGTGACAATAGTTGATAAAAAACAACTAAGTACATGTACACAATAAGATGAATAAGAAAAAAACTTAAGTAAGAAAGAGAAGTTAATATTTATAGATAAATTTTTTTTACATTAAAGTATATGTGCCTTAATTGTTTAAAATTGACAAAACAAAAATATAAAAGATAAATTTGGATTATAACAATATATTGAAGTAAGACGAAAAATGTATGTAGTTAATCTGTCTTTATTGTGTTGCAATTTTCTGGAGTATAAACAGTTTCTCCGGTTTTCTAGTCTATTTGGCAATACATTTAGACTTACAATGCTTTGATATAAAACAATTTTTAATCGTTTATTCCGATTTATGTTTAAGCATGCTAAAAATGATAAAAGTTAAAAATTGATCTAAGCTTATTGAAGTTTAGAAGTTAAAGGAATAAATATATTTATAGAAATTGTCTCAACCTTTCTGTTCATTTATCCATCAAAAAATCAATTAATAAAATAAGCCTTTGTCAAAAACATTATTTTTTTGAGCAATTGTTGTTGTACTTGTAATGTTTTTGTTGGTCTTATTGTGAGTCAGGTCTTTTCGTGAACACTTTACATTATGATTTTATATCAAAACGTTCACAAACGTTTTGATAAATCATATAAATCATAACTTCAAACACCGGAAACAACTGACATGATTTGAAAAGTAATGTATTAGAAAATATATTGTGAGTTGACGATTCCTCTTACATTTCTCCTTAGATACTAGTGCGACATAGTACTCCAGACCTAAATATTCAAGAAACAATTGTCGGTTACATGACATGCCCTCTTGACAACGAGAGAGAGAAAATGCTTCAGAAAGAAATAGAAAAGTGGGGAGAATATGAAGCTGAAATTATTGGAGTTAAAGAAGATGTTACTGAGGTGAAGAAAAAAATGACAGAAGTTGAAGGAAATGTAATTAAAGTAGAGAAAGAAATGACTGGACTAAAGCAAGATTTTACGCAAGTCAAGGAAGGCTTAGATAATTTGAAAGCAGGTGAGTTGCTTAATATTTTTGTGATTGTTTATCATTGATAGTAATATTTTAATAAAACAAACATTTAATTGGTAAATGTGAATGTTAGAAAAACAATAATACAGTACTTTAAAAAATACATAACTATTTTATGATGGTCATAATAGGCGTTTATATAACATGGTTACTTTTCATTTATTTTCTTCTTTCGTTCAATTATAAGAATGGACAGTAAGTAATACAAATGTTTGATTTGTTTTTTCTGAAATAGTGACATTATGATCATTTTCTTCTTTTTTTGAAAGTGAGTCTTTTTAGTTGTGTATTTCAAAGTATTGACGATTAATTAAATAATTATAGAGATTGATAAGGATAAAATATATAAAACTGCTTTAGATATAAAGAGTACAACTCTTTATATTAATTGAATGTTACAGTCACACGCTGCAAGATATTTATTTATAGATTGTCCATGTGTCACTATTTTTTTTTATATTTTGGTTGTGATTTATTCTTTGTTGATAAATGTATTAATAAATTGGAAGGTAAAAAAGGACATTTCAAAACTTCTTTTAAGCAAATCATTAAATTTGATAATATGTATTAATCAAAATTATCAGGAAATAGAAGTCTACACATATTGTCTTTTTTCCTTACCACTTTAAGGAGACTATCATAAACAGACAAAGGAGGAAATATATCAAAGTCGCAAGGCGGGTAAGTAGAGTTTGCCCTTATATTATTTCAGGAACAAAAAACTCCTCCACGGGTGTGGTATTGAAAAAGGTTGTTTTTTACATAAGTATAAATTCTATTATATAATATATGAGCCTATTCATAGTCAGAAGTAGTACATTCAAGCTATCATTGCACCGAGAGTGCAGACTTAACCATAATTAAAAAAAAATATTTGTAATTGAAATGACTTGCAAATTTGTTTATACAACTATTGCCGTTAAACCTTCAATGTAACACGTACATGTGGGCCAATGTATAAAATACAATTGTCCTGAATGGATGAATGGAAAAGCAACTGATGGAACAAAATAAAAAGTATTTTCAGAGGGCTTCAAAAAAGTGAAGTAAGTAAAAAGCAGAACTATCTCTATTTATTCTTTATTTAATTTAATTATGTCGTTTAAAGAACAAATAAAACTTAACGTAAATAAATCCTTTTAGGGGTCGTTGTTGTAATTATTGTTTATGTTTTTTGTGTGTTTGATTAATGTGGGAATGCAAACATTTATTGCTTGGTCGGTCTGCTCTGATGATTTTTTTTCAACGTCATAAAGTCATGCTTTATACTTTACGATTTCAAAATCATGAAGTTGAATTCGTTAAGTTAGAGTCGTGGATTTTTTATAATAAAATCGTGAATTCGTGAAGTTATAGTCGTGAATTTTTTTAAATAAAAATGTGAATTCACGAAGTTAGAATCATGAATTTATTTTTGAAGTAAAATCGTGAATTCGCGAATTCGAAACTATGCATTCATGGAGTTAAATTTGTGAAGTTAAAATCGTAAATTCATTAAGTTGAAATCATGTATTTGTAAAGCTGTAATCGAGAATTTATGTAGTTGAAATAGTTAATTCATGAATTAAAATCATTAATTCATGAAGCTGTCATCGTGAATTTCGTTCATTGGATACGTGAATTCACGAGTTAAGATTGTGAATTCACGAATATTAAATCAGGAATTCAAGAAGTTGAAATGTCGCCACCGATCTTTTGTAGTTACTGCCGCACTTCACTGCTGATCATCCACAACATTTAAACCCTCCAATCATGAAAATTTTTTTGAGAGACTCTCTCCTGTTTACAGGTCCAGGGGGCATGATGGTAAACAGATGTGTAAAGTGTCAAAGCCATATGTCAAGAGACTTTGAAAATATTTGAAATGATACACAAATTTTAATCTAAAGTCTAAGTAAAATGGAGCATGCTTGATAGAGTTACATAAACATAAATTCTAAGTAAAAAAAGATGAATAATTCTGTAAGAATGTCTGATATAGTTACCACCTCCTGCCTACACGTTTAGATCATGATGGTGAACAAGTGTTCAAAGTTCCAAAGCCATATGTCAATGGACTTTAAAATTTTTTGAGGTGGTACACACACTTTAACTTAAGTAGTTACGCCGAAGACGACGCTCTGGTGACTAGGATAGCTCTACTTATTATTATCGAATAGTCGAGCTAACAATTACGAGCACTGCTTTACAGAAAAATATTTATAAAGGCTGTGTCTCAAAGCACCAAAGTACATTTTGAAAAACTGATTAAAACGTTTAAAAACACGTAAAAACTGAACTAATATATATCAGGTGCAAACAAAACTTACTTAAGTTGTTTCCTTTATGTCATATAAATCAATACATTTTTAAATCCTCATTGAACGTGTACTGAATATAATGAGTTGGAAAGAACAAAAAAAAAAAAATTACCAAACCGCGCGATAAACTCTGATATTAGCTGCTTTTTTAACAAGAACGTTAATCTTAATAAATCATGTTTATAACTGTAAACAATGATATTGTTGTTTGTTTAAATGTTTCGTTAAATATCTTATTCGTTGTGGCAACAAATCTACAAAAAACATGGGGGTCGAACGTATAACGGATCGATTATTTTTAAGTGAGATGAAAAGGTGCAGTACGAAAAATGGCGGATTTTAGACTGTTTCAAAAAGTGAGTATATTTTTTAACAGTCATTGACTATCAAAATTGCGAATTTTGTGTGGAGGATTTCCAAATGAAAATGCATTTCCCTGCTTAATATCATACTACATTTTTCACATACATATGGGCTTAAAACTATACACAAAACGATCTTCCACAATCAGTGAAAACATACAGTAGGCCAATATGCACCGTCATGTGTGTCTAACGGATCCTTCGTTAAATTAGGCATGTCACACATAATTCACAGTCTTCAGTATGAAGCTGTGTCTTGAGCTAAGAAGTTTTTTTCACACACACACGCACACCACAACTATTTTACTAAAAAGAAAACACATGTTGATTGAGATAGTCTTCTAAATTTCACTGTATCAGTACATGAAATTAGAACTGTCCTTCCTTATATTCTTGATAAGATGTACGTGGCGACTTTTACGGCCTCCATAGCTATGTTAAAGTCGCTGTTTACCTTCTACACGCACTCAAGTGTAAACATGGCACATTAAAGAGTTATCTGCAGTCAAAATGTGCCCAAACTCACATGATAATTTTTTGATTTGATGATATTTAATTTGAAAACGATAAATAAGACGAGAACAGCATTCCATACTTTGGGGGACGAGAGGGCCCCTGCATAAGCTTTGTTCTTCACCTCAAATATCGTGCAACTTTGTTCATTCATTGAACATTACATGTATATTTATATTCAATCCAATGTGCAGTCACTGCAGAAACTAAATATATTTCGTATTCTAATATATGTATATTTTTAACAGAAGTTTGGCTTTAAAACAAAATGTGCAGACAGAAAGCACACTAAAACAAAGTCACCTTCTAATCCTATGAAAGATAAATATAAATAACACTTGCCAAACATGAATAAGCGATGTATTTTGTTGAAAGAGTCTTTAGAGCACATAGGTACGGCTTATTAAATTAATGTTCACAAAAATGTGCTGAATGTTCACAAAAAAATGTGTTTGATAGCTGAAAACATTTATTCTTCGATCACTCCGTTTTTTCAAGAATGAATGGTCTTGGCCCAGTGAATTTTCGTACTCTTTATTCTATAGTAAATCGGTCACATACCGGTAGGAGGCTTTATTTTGGATTCCACTGTTCTTCTTGAATTATATAGTCTTCAACTTTAAACATCAACACTATCTAAGTCAAATGATGCCCGAAGTAGAATGTGTTAGCCATCTACTTTTTTTCAGAAATCTTCATTCTGTTGTAACACTGTTTAAATTCACCACTTAAAAAACTCTTGACTAGTGGTAGGAAATACAATCTTTAATCCTTCTGCAAACAAATGAGGTCCTAGAGAATACACAAAACACAACTTTTAAAGTCACCATATAACACAAAAAAACTAAGCGGATGCTATAAATACACTTTAATTATGACCAATCAAGCTAGAGACTTAAATATGACCACTTTAAATTTCAAAAGAGCTACTTTCTAGACTACAACGGGTCCGGTCTAATTCCATCCCCTTGATAAAAATAACGCAAATTTGAAAAATGCTTTCATACAAATCAGACTAAGAAAAGCACAAAAAAACGGTTATATTTTTGTCCGAGTATACTTCTCAATCTTTCTGTTTTTAGTGCCCACATTGATTTATGCAAAAAACTATGCAAATTTTATGTATTTTGTCTGTAGTTCCTTTACAGCTTAGTGTAGTTCCTTTAAGGCTTAGAGATAAAATCAATTACGGGAATATATTACACGTGCTCAATTAACAATGACTTTTTAGAATATGAAACATTATTACTTGGTGATTTTAATACAGATGTGTCTAGTGACAAGTCTTATCCTCTTTTAAAGTGTTTTAAATCATTTATTCATATCTCATTTTAATCAGTTAATAAGTGAACCTACAAGAATTTGTTCTACAAGTTCAACAACTATTGATTTAATTTTAGTATCTGACCATGATAAATTTCTCAATCAGGTGTTATAAATACTTCATTTGGTGATCAAAACATGATTTACTGTACAAGGAAGCTCTCTAAACCTTTTATTGGTTCTCACAATAATGTTACTCTAAGATCTTTAAAAAAGTATAATAAGGAAGACTTTCAAGCTAGTCTATTATCTACTGATTGGAATCCGGTATTACTGAGTGATAATGTGAATGAAGCATGGGACAGGTTTAAAGAAATTTTCTTATCAGTAATAAACAATATTGCTCCAGTGAAACAAACTAGGTTGAAACAAAGAACAGAACCTTGGATTGACTCTGATATACTTCAGGCTATCAGTGATAGAGATACAGCTTTTAAAATTTATAAAAGTAACAGAACATTGGACAATTTTAATTTGTTTCAAGGTCTCAGAAATAAGGTGCAGTATTTAGTTCACTCTGCAAAATCAAGTTATTTTACTAGTCAACTTGAGGAGAACAAAAATGATTCTAAATCTTTATGGAAATCTCTCAAAAATCTTGGGCTGCCATCTAAGAAAGGATCTTCTTCATCTAGTTCTAATATTTGTTTAAAAAATTGATGAAAAGGTTTGTTTTGACAAGACACTTATTGCTGAGACTTTTAACAATTTCTATACAACTGTTGCTTGTCAACTTGTTGAAAAACTTCCTAAATGTGTAAACAGATTTGTGTAAACAGATAAACTCATTTTATGCTGAAAGAGGTGTTTATCCTAATGGTTTTTCTTTTTCTCTTTTGTGGGAAAGCAAACTTTTTAAATACTTAAATTCACTAAGTGCTAGAAAAGCTACTGGCTTTGAAGGTATACCTTACTGTTTTGTCAGGAATGGGTCACCTATAATTGTAGGTCCTATAACCCACATTGTAAACTTGTCTCTTATTCAAGATGTAGTTCCTGATGATCTTAAGACTGCTAGAGTTGTCCCCTTTTTTAAAAAGAATGATAAACTTTCTGTAGGCAACTACAGGCCTGTGTCAATTTTAAATGTAGTTTCCAAGATACTTGGAAAGTTAGTTTATGACCAAGTTGAAACATATTTTAAAGAAAAAAAGCTGTTGTATAAATTCCAATCTGGTTTTAG